TGTTTTTCGGGTTGGGTTTTATGCAGCGGATGAAGTGCGGAGAAGTGCTGCTGATCGTCCCCATCAGCTGCTGCAGCTGCTCGCGGAACTCCCCGGACACCGTCAGCAGCCGCCGCCGCCGCTGCTGCTGCTGCTGCTGCTGCTGCTGCTGCTGCTGCTGGGGGGGGGGGGGAGCCGCGCCGCCGCCGCTGCTGCTGCTGCTGCTGCTGGTGGAGCCGCGCTCGAGGTAGCGGGTGAAGAGAGCAGCAACGAAGGGGTCTGCTGCAGCAGCAACGCACTGCTGCAGGTCCAGAGAAAGACTGTCTTTGTTCTTTTCCAAAAACCCCTCAATGTTGTATTCCACTTCGCCAGCAAAGTGCTTCACCACGAAGCAGTTCGGCCGCGTCTTGTTCACCCCGAAGCGGCTCGCGGGCCCGCTGCTGCTGCTGCTGCTGCTGCTGCTGCTGCTGCTGCTGCTGCTGCTGCTGGTGTACTTTTTGATGAGTTTGCTGCAGTAGGCCCTGCTGCTGCCGCCGGGGACGAGGCACTCCTCGTCGAGAACAGCAAAGAGACCATTGGTCTTGTGCTGCAGCAGCAGCAAACAGTCGGAGTTGTCGGGAAAGTCCAGCGCCTGCCATCCAATTCCTTCTTTTTTGTAAAGTTCTTCTTCGCAAAGAAAAACAAAAGAATTAAAAAAGTGCTGCAGCTCTTCGTTTGCGTAGTTTATGCAAAGTTGTTCGAAAGAATTCAGCCCGAAGCACTCAAATCCAAAAATGTCCAAAACTCCGCAAAACAGTATGTCTTCTGCTGCTGCTGCTGCTGCTGCTGGGCGCGCTGTGGCGGCTGCGGCGGGAGCCGCTGCTGCTGCTGCTGCTGCGGGCTCTGCTGCTGCTGCTGCTGCGCCTGCTCCTGCTGCTGCGCCCGCTGCTGCTGCTGCTGCGGGCTCTGCTGCTGCTGCTGCAGCTGCTGCTTTGGAGACAAATCCTATGCTGCTGTTGGTGAGGTCTACAATGCAATTAAAAAGAGATCCATAAAGAGCTCTGCAAAGTGCTGCTTTGCTTTCTGCTGCTTCTTCAGGCCTCAAAGGCTTTCTGCAAAATAAAAAATAAAAAAAATAAATCAAAATATAAAATCATTTAATTAATGAACTATTTTATTCAAAATAAAGAAAGAAAAGTATAATATGAAGGGCAAAAGGAACGTAAAAACAGAAAAGGAAAACGAAAAGATGAGAAAAGAAAAAAAGAAAAGATTACTAAATGAAAAATAAAAAAATAAAAAAGAGAAAAGAAACAAAAAAGAAAAAGAGGCAAAAAAGAGGAGAGAAAAAGAGACAACAAAAAGAAAAAAAATACAAAAAAGAAACAAAATGAAAAGACAAAAAAGATTTTTAAAAATCTTTTTGTAAGCAAAAAAAGGAACAAAAAAGACATAAAAGATTTTTAAAAATCTTTTTGTAAGCAAAAAAAGGAACAAAAAAGACAAAAAAGCAAGCCAAAACAAAAAGAAAACAAAAAGAATAAAAAAGGCAAAAAGAAACCAAAAAGAAAAAAAGAAAAAGAGGAAAAAGAAAAAAAAGAAAAAGGAAAAAATTTAACTTGAAGAAAAGGCAGTGGACTTTACTTGAGGGTTTCGCGGGAGGTTTTGATGGTTTTGCTGCAGAGGGCCTGGAGAAGGGTTTGAGGGTTTAGGGTTAGGAGTTTTGCTGCTTTGAGGAGGTGGGGTTTTGCTGCTGCTGCTGCTGCTGCTGCTTCGGAGTCGTTTTGCTGCGGCGTGAACTCC